GGATATAGAAATAGAAAGACAACGATTCCAATAAGATCTGTTGATTAAACAAAAAATTAATGCTTTATTCTTATCATAATCTTGAGATAATATTGCCAACTTGTTCAAAGTTTACAGAGTTAAAATGCATGTCATGTTATGAAGTCAGTGAGTAGTAGTGGTTACTACCAGCAGCATGTCGTGACTGGTTTTAGAAATTAAGTGATATTAAGATTTGACAGTCAAACTCTATAGGTGGGATAAAAGTGACTGACTGGTCAATTTTGCAAAGGGGACTTACGTGTTTTATATTCGCTATGTCTACCAATTGCAATTAAATCAAACTATAAAATGAAATTACACCAGCAGTATGAATTCACAATCTTTAAGCTACGATGCTATGCACGTAAAACTTCAAAACAGCAAGAACTGTTTTTAAAATTTTAAAACTATGAACAATTACATGCAGTTGTCATTAAATTAAAACACAAAATGCACTAAACAGCCACTGTTACTACCAGACTAGTTCTCTGTGTTAGATCTCATTCCCATTGACGCCGTCAATTCTGTAAATCGACTCCACTCTGTGGGGACTCTTGCTAAGTGAAATCAGCTAAACTGAATCGATCCACATAGATCGATGGTGTCTATTGGAATGGGGCCTAACACTAAATAATATCTTTGGCATCCTGCTATAAGTTGTCCTCTCTTCCATTCTTTTTGTTTTTTCTTTCCTATTTCTATTTTTTTTCAATGACCTCAAATATTCCATTTCTCATTATTCCACAGCAGTAAATTACTTATGTCAAGATAAAAGATTGATGCCTTTATGCTACATAAAATGCTGTAACACATAATTGCCATTAGTACCCTAAACTACATCCACAGGTTGGTTACTTAATGTACATAATTATTAAGTTAGTGTGTGCTGACTAAATTAAAATGCAATATCTATCTCCTTTATGTGCATTACTTTTCAAATACAACTAGAAGGTGATTATTTTGAAGAGTATATGTCTTAGTTATCTCTTGTTAAGGTGAGCAAGGATTAAGAATGCTCAACAGAAGATAAAACTGTCAGATAAAATATATTCTGTAGAAAAAATAGACAGGAGATACATGTGTACATGTACAAGTATATTTATTTTAAGTTATGTGAGAAAATCCAAACAATTTAAGTTCCACATAACAGGAATTTGTTGAATGCTACATGTATATAAATCTATTAACACTTTTAACTACTATCAATGACAATGTTTTTCTTGTTTAAAATTCAATATTCAAGAGCTGTTTAAATTATCTGACTGAAAAAGCAAACCACTTTCACATCTATAGAATAAAAAACATTCATTTGCACTTGGATTCACTCGAAATTATGAGAGAGCTTCACTTCAGAATCTTAAGAAAGCAAAAATAAACCAAGGCGTCAGCAGCATAACAAACAAAATAAGAAAAAATAATTAAATAAATAAATAAATAAAATTCTAAAAAACACAGCAAAATACAGACAGAGTATGGACATATACATGGGGAGGTGAAGGTGGGTGACATTACATGACAACAATTGTGTTAGATGTTTCCAAATGTTAAACTGCACCAAAACTGTGGACCATACACTGTACTTGGTAGGCATTACATGCATGGTGATGGAGAAATGAAAATGACAATGGTTGTGTTAGAATATTGAATTAAAAAAAAAACAGTGCCCAAGATTTTACTGCTTACACTGGGGAATCACTCTGCGGGGTCCAAGAATTAAGATTGGGGATCATAGTCCATGTCTGGTTGATGAGTTTTAAAGAAATGGCCAGAATAAATATCTGGAAATAATCTGCAAAAGATAATTAACACAGGCACTCAGAAAAAAAGGGGGAAAATATTTAAAAAACTAGAGGATCAGAGAGGCGATACCGCCTCCGAATATTGTACCACCAGCTGGAGCAAGCGCATTCGTATAGACCCCCACATACACAAAATAAGGGACACAGCCACCAGTCTTATGCTTGACAAGCTATAAAAATGCAATCAACAAGAATTTTCAAAATACGCAAAAAATATATATAACTTAAAATGGTACAATCAAAGTTAAGTTCATCGTAAGGTAGGTCAAAGGTCAATTTCAAGGTCGCAGTTAATTGCCAGTATATGACTTCCTATTCAACTTCAATAGTAACTATGGACCTATCTCTGCCATGTTTGGAGTTAAAAGAGAAAGAAATTAGCAGAGTTCAGTTCATGATTATAAGTAGGTCAAAGGTCAATTTGAAGGTCACATATAGATTGCCAGTATATGACTTCCTATTCAAGTCCAATAGTAACTACGGACCTATCTCAGCCAGTTTTGGAGATAAAAGGAAACCAAAATTTGCAAAGTTCAGTTCATGGTGAAAAGTAGGTCAAAGGTCAATTT